TCTGCCACCCAGGCTGGAGTGCAGTGGCACAATCTCAGCTCACTGCAACCTCCACCTCCCAGGTTCAAGTGATTCTCCTGCCTCAGCCTTCCGAGTGGCTGGGATCACAGGCACACACCACCACATCTGGCTATTTTTTTTTTTGTATTTTTGTTACAGACTGGGTTTCACCATGTTGACCAGGCTGGTCTCCATCTTCTGACCTTAGGAGATCCGCCCACCTTGGCCTCCCAAAGTGCTGGCCACCACACCTGGCCTTAGCTTATTTTCTAAACAGAAAATAAAATGAAAGAGGGTCTTGGGTGGATAAGTGTTGATGGATAATGATAATCTGGCTCTGTGAATTTGAAGCAACAACAACAACGAAAGACAGAAGGAAAATACCACGTTCATACGAGAACATGAGAAGCCCCGCGGGGCCCTGCCCATCTGAAAAAATGATGTAGCAGGCCAGGTGCAGGTGGCTCACACCTGTAATCCCAGCACTTTGAGAGGCTGAGGTGGGCGGATCACCTGAGGTCTGGAGTTTGAGACCAGCCTGGCCAACATGGTGAAACCCCATCTCTACTAAAAATACAAAAATTAGCTGGCTCTGGTGGCAGGTGCCTATAATCCCAGCAACTAGGGAGGCTGAGGCAGGAGAATGGCATGAACCCAGGAGGTGGAGGTTGTAGTGAGCCAAGATCGTGCCATTGCACTCCAGCCTGGGCCACAGAGCCAGACTCCGTCTCAAAAAAAGAAAGGAAGAAAGGAAGAAAGGAAGAAAGGAGGAAAGAAGGAAAGGAAGAAAGGAAGGAAGGAAGGAAGGAAGGAAGGAAGGAAAAGAAAGAAAGAAAGAAAGAAAGAAAGAAAGAAAGAAAGAAAGAAAGAAAGAAAGAAAGAAAGAAAGAGAAAGAGAGAAAGAAAAGCAGAAATAGACCAAAGAGCAAAGGCAATTCCATGGAGAAAGGGTAGCCTTCCCAGCAAATGGTGCTGGAACAACTGAACATCTACATGGAAAAATGAACCCAGGCACAGACTGTTGTGGCTTAAAGGTATGTAGCCTTCCAAAATTCATATGCTGAAACCTAATTACCAAGATGATGGTATCACAGGGCAGGGCCTTTAAGAGGTGATTCGATCATGAGGGCTCCACTCTCATGAACAGGATTAGTGCCCTGACAAAAGAGGCTTCATGGAGCGGTCTTGCTTTTCTCCCCTTTTCTAACATGTAAGGACATCATGAAAAGACATCATTGATGGAAGAGACCTTCACCAGGCATGGAACCAGTTGGCACTGTGATCTTGGGCTTCCCAGCCTCCAAAACGGTGAGAAAAATGATTTGAGACAGACCTTCCATCCTTCACAAACGTTAGCTCAAAACAGATCATGGACTCAAATGTAACACAAAACTATCGAGTCCTAGAGAATAACATGGGAACATCTAGGTGACACTGGGTTTGGTGATGACTTCTTTAGATACAGGGCCAACAGCACGACCCATGGAGAGAAAACAAAGCAGCAAACTCAGCTTATGGCCAAGTAAGGAAAGGGCAACCTGGTCCCTCTAGGCCAAGGCTCCCAGGAGAAGGGAGCTGGACAGAGTTTCTGGGTCATGGTCTGGCTTCAGCCTACCTAACAGTCTCTTCTGGAAAAGCCAGTGGGCAAGGTCGTTAGAGACTCCTGGGAAACAGGGGTCCCCACTCACATATCTGACAGGGCTGAGCTGAGAGTACTGGGGATTGCATGCATCCAGTGGAAAAAATAGAGTTGGCCTTCATATCTGTGGGTTTCACATCTGAGGATTCAACTGGCCACGGATGGAAAACACATGAAAAATAAAAAATAACAATACAACAATAAAGATAATACAAATTAAAAAACAAATCAGGCCAGGTGCGGTGGCTCATGCCTGTAATCCCAGCACTTTGGGAGGCCAAGGCGGGCGGATCACGAGGTCAGGAGATCGATACCATCCTGGCTAACACAGTGAAACCCCGTCTCTACTAAAAATACAAAAAACCAGCCGGGCGTGGTGGCGGGTGCCTGTGGTCCTAGCTACTAGGGAGGCTGAGGTGGGCGAATGGTGTGAACCTGGGAGGCGGAGCTTGCAGTGAGCCGAGATCGCGCCACTGCACTCCAGCCTGGGCGACAGAGTGAGACTCCATCTCAAAAAAAAAAAAAAAAAAAAAAAAATCAATACACTGTAGCTGTTTATGTAACATTGACATTGCATCCGGTAATATGAGTAATCTAGAGAAGATTTAAAGCATTAGGGAGGATGAGCAAAGGTTCTATGCAAATAGTATGCCATTTTAGATCAGGGATTTGGGCATCCATGGATTTTGCTATCCCCAGTAGGGGGAAGGTTGGAACCCATGCCCCGTGGACACTGAAGGACAACTGTAGTCAGAAGGGTGGGCTCCTCTGTGTGTCCTGCTTCTAAGAGCACCACGGCCTTTTTGCAGCTCTCTATGGTGGGTCAGAGTGGAGCCCTTCTGTGGGGTGTCCTGGCATCCCCAGTGGGTCCAAGCTCTGGGATATGGAGGGAGAGCAGGGACTTACTTCATCAGCACAGAGTAAGATAGGACCCATCCAGATAGGAATCTGGGCCAGACTCACCTGGGTACCCATCTTCAGGTTAAAGAATGCTGAAGTGCCCCAGGGAGCATGGTGGTGCCAGAAAAGGGATTTATCTCGCATGATGCTGTGTAGATCACCAAATTGGTGGAATGTCTAATGGAGTGGGCTTTCGGACGCACAGGCAAAACCAGTTCTTTTTTTGTTTTGTTGTGCCCCAGCTGGAGTGCAGTGGTGCAACCACAGCTCCTTGTAACATTGAATTCCTGGGGCCAGCCATCCTCCCACCTCAGCCTCCTGAGTAGCTGGGACTACAGGTGCGTGCTACCACGCCCGGCTGAGACCTGTTTTGAGTGGGATCCAGAGTAAGAAAGGGCCCTGCAGAAGGACTGGGCTGCAGAGCAACTGCTCTGCCACCAGCAGTGAGAGCCCGCCAACCTAAAGGTGCTGGAGGGATCTGTCCATGGTAGGCCAGGATGCTGTGCGGAGCCATCAGGAAGCCTCAAAGAAAGGATCCCAGCAGGGACCATAGGCGCTGTGGCAGGGCCACACCTTCAGTGGCAGGGCTACTCACCACTGAATAAAACATAGCTGTGACCATGCTACCGGGACCTAGGAGAGACTTAGAGCCTGACCATGGGGCATCCAGGGCCTGTGTGACCCAAGCCACCCACTGTGAACTGAGTATTGAGGTGGAGATAGCACATTCAGGCCCAGGCAGTCCAGACCCCGGTCACCCAGCTCTTTCACACTGGCATGCCCCCTCAGCTCACACCTATGGCCTCATGGGTAGTGGTGGTGGGATGTTCCCATGACTGACTCAGACCCAGGTCCTCGACTGGTCATCTCATGTCACCACTAGGAAAAACACCTGCTGCCACACTGAGGCCCTATGCAGGGTGGCCCTGAGGGACAGTAGTGAGGGGACATCCTCTCGGGGAGCAAGACACTAGGTTGCCTACTTTGTAGAGGGAGAAATGGCATGAGACGAAGGGGTCTGTGACCCCTGGGCGGTGGAAAATGGCTGGGCTGACTGGTCAGGGACCCGGGTGGAGAAAGATTGGAAGAAGAGACAGGTTTGGCGAAGAGGTACCTACAGGAGTGCTCGGGGAGCGTGTGGAGCCCCGTACTTGCGCCCATGCCGCTGGGGAGCATGCAGTGTGGAGGGGGCGCGCCGGAAGCTGGCGAACCGAGGGGACCATCTGGTAGAGGTCAGCCAGCTTCTCCCCAGGATGCGATGGACACACGATGTCAGTGGCCATGGTGGGCAGGCTGGAGGCTCTGTATAAGCCCAACGGCAAGGGCTTCCTCTTACCACGGCTCATCTAGTCACTGCCGCTAGTCAATGTTCCCCCACCAGCAGCAGCGATCGATGCTGAGCCCTCAATATGACGCCATTCCTCAAGACTAGCCAGCCATTGGGGGGCAGGTTGCAACCTGCACACCAACCCTTGTCTCAAGTTCTGCTTTCCGGGAGAAGCCCCGGATAAGAAACTTGCCTTCCTTCTCCACATTCTGGGCAGGCCCGCCATTCCTGATTTGTCCTCTAAGGAGTCAGGGAGGAAAGGAAGGGCTCTAATTAAACAGTCCCGTGTGGCTGGGGGTTCCCTCACTTGCCCAAACCTGGAAATGAAGCATGTACCAATTTCTCCAAGTGGTCTCCTGCAGCCGGGGCAGCCCCTGGGAACGTAGCCTTCCACCCGCTGCTGCTTTCCAGGCAAAGGCCTTCTCCCTCCAGGCTTGTCCAAGAAGAGGGGGCAGGTGGTGGGAGAGAAGAGGAAGAGATGGAAGGGCTGTGAAAGCGGGGGCCGGGTGAGGGCTGGGGCTGAGGAACAGGTAGGCGGCGGACCCACGTGGCCAGTGCTGTGTGCAGGTCCGGGTCCCAAGGCCTCCGAGGCTGCTCCGGCCACTCTCCCCACGACCTACCCCCTCCCCACGCTTCGCTCATCCTTTCTCTCTCTTTCTCTCTTTTCTTTCCTTTCTTTCCTCCCTTTCTCTCTTTCTTTCTTGTTTTAAACAAAGGTGTCCGTTTCAAAGACAGCAAGGAATGGCTGAGTTGAAGGAGGGATGCAGTCATTTAAGAAGCCCCAGGAAGGAGCAGAGGCGTGAGGGCTGCCGCGTCCAGGACGGGGGAGAGGGGCTGGAATCGCGGACTCTGGGGGACCCAGGAGACTGCTCCTCTTGGCAGGACCCCTCTCTCCCAGAGCGGCATCGCGCAGACAACGCGCCGGGTGCTTGCCCCTCAGGACCGGACGCCGGGTGTCGTGGAGTGCCTAGGACTCCCGCCTGCTTCCGTCGAGAGCCCGCCCCCGGCTTCCCGCGCCGGCTCCTGCGTCCCCGCCGCTCCCTCCCGCAGCAGGCCCCGCTCCCCTCCCCGCCCCTCCCGGCGCGCGTGCGCCCCGTGCCCGCGCCCCTCCCCCGCCGCCGTGGGCGCGCGCGCGTGCCCGTCGTCCCAGGCGGGAGCTGGAGACGGCCGGCGGCTGCTGGACGAAGAGCGGGCGCCGGGAGCGCCGAGAGCGCGGCCGGGCGAGGCGGGAGCGCGGGCGCTGGCCTGGCCGCGGGCGGGGGCCGCCGCCGCCGCGCCGCTGCCCCCCTGCTAGCGAGCGGGGGCAACATGCCACCGCCCTTTGTGCATGTCACTGCCCCCTATATCCATAGGCTTGAACCCGGCTGCTTGGCCTTGAGGCCGGAGCTCTCAGGGCTGGCGGCCATGGGCAGGAAACCGGAGCGGCAGCTGACTGTGGGCCTTGAGGGCGGGGAAGGCGCGGGGCCGCGGGCGGGGGCCGCCGCCGCCGCGCCGCTGCCCCCCTGTCGCGGGCCGGGCCGCGGCGCCGAGCGCGAGGGCCGGGCTCTCAGGGCTGGCGGCCATGGGCAGGAGCCGGAGGCGGCAGCGGCAGCGGCGGGCCCCGCGGGCGGGGAGGCGCGCGGCCCACGGCCCCTGACGGGCCCTGACTGCCCCTGGCGGCCCGGCGCGACCCCGCGCTTCCTGGGGGGCCGTAGCCTGGCAACGCCCGGCGCGCCCGCCCATCCCCCGCTGCCCTTTTTCTCCTGGCCGGGTGCGAGGGAGCATGCCCGCGCCTGGCCTCGGCCAGCGAAGAGTTAACCTGAGGGGCGAGCCGCTGCCCCCACCTCGGGGGCGTGCCCCCCTCCCCCGCTAGGCGGCCCGCCCCCCGCGCCAGGGTATGGCCCCGGGCCCCGACCCGGGACCCGAGGTCCCGCGCCCGGGCCAGTGAAAGGCGTCTTCCGGTTCCCACCCTCCGCCTCCTCTCGCCGGCCAGCACCATGGGATGTAATATGTGCGTGGTCCAGAAACCGGAGGAGCAGTACAAAGTGATGCTGCAGGTAAGGCTGCCAGCGCTGCGGCGGGGGCGCGGCCCTCCGCGGGAAGGAGCGGGCCAGTGGGGAGGCCCGGAGCGGCGGAGCGGCGGGCGTGGGAGAGCGGGAGGGCTTGAGGAGGAAAAGGTAGTGTGCCGTCCGCACCCTCCCATCCTGGGGCTGTTGAGTGTTGTCGCTCCGTGGAAACCAGCCACGGGTGGGGTGGGAAGTTAGGGTTGGCCCGGGTGGGGCGCGCTTCCGTCCCGGGAGGCGCGGTGCGGCGGGCGCGGGATGGAGGTTGCATAGCAACGAGCGCAGTTCCCCGCACACGCTCTCCCAGCAGGACCCAGGGCGGGGGAGGGAGCCAGGCTCCCGCCGTGCGGGGGGGCGCCGAATCTCGATCCCGGCGGGCCTGGAGCGTAGGAGTGTGTGGGCGTCCCCGGGCGTGGTCCAAGTCCGGCCGGGGGCTGCGTGCCCACCCCGACACCCACTCCCGCCTGGCCCTGCCCGAACGTTGGGCTCCCGGGCCTTGGGCGTCTCGGGTGAGTGGGCACCGCCGGGATCAGCGGGTTGGGCTCTCTGCGGGTGGCAGTGCTTGACCGGGCTTTGGGGGGCGTGGACCAGGAAAGCCCCGCAGGGAGGGAAGGAGACGCGGGGCCCTGAGCTCGGACCTGGAGCCCAGCCCCGCGGCCCGAAATGGGGCTTCTTGCCTGTGCGTGGCGTGACTACGTGAGTGCGTTCCTGTGCCCCGTCTCTGTGTGCGCGGAGGCTCCCCCGGCCCCGCATTTGTGTACTTTCTGTGTGCACCCTGCAAACTGTCTAGAGAAATGTCCCGGATGCTGTGGGCTGAGACCCCCTAGGGCTAAGTGGCGGGAGGTCAAGGTCAAGGCACCCAGGAGCAGACAGGGCTCAGACAGGTATGCGTTTAGTGGCCTGGATTCATCTCCCGGGTTTATTGGTCTGGACTGGGAAGGAATCAAGTGCTTTGCAAGGAAGGGTGTTGGCTTGGGAGAACGTGGGGGAACCCGTGCAGGGATCGGCGAGGACTCTGGGGGTGAGGGGAGGCGGGGCGGGGCGCGGGGAAGAATTCCTAGGAATCCGGGGACTGACTTCACGCTGTGAGCCGAGCTTTTCTGGCCACCTTGTGCGGGAGCGGAGGGGCAGGGCGGGGACGCAAATCTTGCCTCAGCCTGGCGGAACTCCGGGTCCCCTCTCCCCGGCCCTTCTTCGGGGGTGCGCGGGGTCCTCGGCTTCTCCCGTTCGCTGTCCTCCGCCTTCTTCCCTCTCAGTTCCTGGCTGCCACTCCTCGTCTCTTGTTCCCGCTGTTTGGAAACCTTGTGTGGCCATTGCCAGCCCCCTAGCGGGATAGGAATGCGACCAAGAGGGCGTCCTGTGGAATCCGTGTTGGATTCCGGGGCTGGGATGGTTAGTTGACGGGGACTCTGGATCCCATCCTACTGCTTCCTTTTCGGGAGTTATTCCATCAAACGGCAAGCGATTTCTCCAAACGATTCATCCGGGGCCGTCTTGACTTTCCTGGAGAAGGATTGGTGCCGCTCTTCATTTAAGGCCAACCTCGTGGGGACGCGTGGATAGGGGAGAGCGACCCGAGCTGCACCCCAGGCCTGAAATGAGCCATGGGAAGACACCGGTAGCCCTTGGGGCTCCCCACAGCCCTCCGGGAAGGCCTCAGCAGGTCGGTCTGGGCCTGCCTTCAGGGAGGTGAACCTGGCTGGGCCCTCCCTGCTCTGCGCCCTAAGCTCTCCTTCATAGAATGGACTTGCCCTCTCCAAGGAGACCCGCCAGGAGGAGGGCCACTACCGCATGCACCCTCTGTGCGCTTTCCTGCTGGGCTCCCTTTGAAAACTCCCGTGGAAGTTTGGCTGCAAACTTTCACTTTCTACATTCCTCCTTGGCCCAATCAGAGCCGGGATTTTAGGAGGAGAACTATCCTTTACAGCTAAGAGAAAACAAGAGGACTGAAAAAAGTGGATACGGAAAGCAGTGCAGGCCATGAGCTGTCTCAGGGGACTGCACTTCTGGAGGTGGACGCATCACCAGGTCCCAGCCTCTTCAGAGGAGAAGGCGCTTTTGTTCCAACAGACTGGTCAGCTTCTGGGACCCCGTGCCTGCCTCCCGGCCAGCTTAAACACGGGTGCTCCCCCATCTTCAGGCGACACTTCTCCCTGTCTCCCCTGAATAACCTCATCTGCACCCCCTTGGGCCTCTGCACCTTATCAGGGTGAGACACTTCATGGGTCTGATTTTCAGAAAAAAGCACAAGTGCATCTGCAGCGCCTTCCATATACAATCCACAGAGGCCTGGGACCCCCAGGCTAGGAACCCCCAAGTCTCTAGCCTAGCGTTGTGTTCCAAGCCATTTTCTGCCAATGACTCACAGCACTTCCAAAATTACAGCTGTATTGAGCTATAATTCTCCTACCATACAACTTACCCTTTCGAAGTGTACAACTCACTGGTTTTTAGTATATTCACAAAGTTGTGCAACCCACACCAGTAATTCCAGAACATTTTCATCACCCCAGAAGAAACCCTGCACTCATTAGCGGTCACACCTCCATTTCTCCTACAAACTTCCTAGCCCCTGGCACCCACCAGTCTACTTCCTGTCTCTATGGATTTGTTTCTTCTAAACGTTTCATAGAAACTGACCTTTTGTGTCTGGCTTTCATTAATCATAATGTTTTCAAGGTTCATCCATGTATCAGTAGTCAATTTCTTTTTATTGCCAAATAATATTTCATTTTGTGATATACAACATAATATTTATCCATTCGTCAGTTGATGGGCATTTGGGGTGCTTCCAACCCCCTTGGGCTGTGTGGAATCTCAGCTCACTGCAGGCTCCGCCTCCCGGGTTTACGCCATTCTCCTGTCTCAGCCTCCGGAGTAGCTGGGACTACAGGCGCCCGAGCGCCTGCCCGGCTAGTTTTTTTGTATTTTTTAGTAGAGACGGGGTTTCACCGTGTTAGCCAGGATGGTCTCCATCTACTGACCTCGTGATCCGCCCGTCTCGGCCTCCCAAAGTGCTGGGATTACAGGGTTGAGCCACCGCGCCCGGCACCCTGGTCTACTTGTATCTGTTTGAATCCTTGCCTTTATTTCTTTGGAGTATTTGCCTGTAGCCATTGAACTGCTTTCCACAGTGGCTGGAACAAGTTTACATTCCCACCAGCAACATATAAGGGTTCCAATTTCTCTGTATCCTTGCCAACAGTTGTTATTTTCTGGGTTTTTGTTATGGCTGTCCTGCTGGGTGTGAAGTGGTATCTCATTGTGATTTTGATTTGCACTTCCTGTTAGCTAAATGATGTTGAGCATCTTTTCTTGTGCTTGTTGGCCATTTGTGTATCTTCTTTAGAAAAATGTCTGTCCTTAAGCCAGCGCCACACTGCTTTCATTACTGCAGTTTTGTAGCAAGTTTTGAAATAAAGAAATGAGAGTCCTCCAACTTTGTATGTCTTTTTCAAGACTGTTTTGTCTATTCTAAGTCCCTCAAATTTCCATATTAATTTCAGGATCAGGTTGTTAATTTCTGGAAAGAAGCCAGCTGGCATTTTGATACAGATTGCATCAAATTTGTGGATCAATTGGGGATTATTGTTCATGAGCATGTGGTATGTTTTCCATTTATTTAGGTCTTTAATTTCTTTAAATGATGTTTTGCACTTTTGTTAAGTTTATTCATGAGTATTTTCTTTATGATGCTATCGTAAATGGAATTGTTTTCTTAATTTCACTTTCAGCCTTCTCATTGCTGCTGTATAGAAATACAATTGATTGACCGAGCGTGTTGGCTCACGCCTGTAATCCCAGCACTTTGGGAGACCAAGGCGGGTGGCTCACCTGACGTCAGGAGTTCAAGACCAGCCTGGCCAACATAGTGGAACCCCGTCTCTACTAAAAATACAAAAAAATTTTAACAGGGCATGGTGGTGTGTGCCTGTAATCCCAGCTACTTAGGAGACTGAGCCAAGAGAATCGTGTGAACCCCAGAGGCAGAGGTTGCAGTGAGCTGAGATTGCACCACTGCACTCCAGCCTGGGTGACAGGGGCAGGACTCTGTCTCAAAAAAAAAATTGATTTTTATACGTTGATCCTATATCTTGCAACCTTACTAAAATTGTTTATTAAGTATCATTTGTTTAGCAGAGTCCTCAGGATTATCTGCATATTAGGATCATGTCATTGGCAAATAGAAATCGTTTTTCTTCTTCCTTCCCAATCTGGATGCCTTCAATTTCTCTTTTTTTTTTTTGAGACAGTCTCACTCTGCCGCCCAGACTGGAGTGCAGTGGTGTGATCTCGGCTCACTGCAACCTCTGCCTCCTGGGTTCAAGTGATTCTCCTGCCTCAGCTTCCCATGTAGCTGGGATTACAGGCACTCACTACCACGCCCAGCTAATTTTTGTATTTTTAGTAGAGATGAGATTTTGCCATGTTGGCCAGGCCAGTCTCGAATTCCTGGCCTCGAGTAATGCTGCCCGCCTCGGCCTCCCAAAGTGCTGGGATTGCCAGTGTAAGCCACCGTGCCTGACCCTTCGATTTCTTTTTCTTGTTAATTTGCTGTGGCTAGAATCTCTAGTACAATGTTGAATAGAAGTGCCGGTGAAGTGTCTTTTCCTTGTTCCTTATCTTAGAGGTAAAGAAGCCTCCAGTCTTTCACTAGGGAGTATAAAGTTAGCTGTGGCTTTTTCATAGCTGTCCTTTATCAGTGTAAGGAAGTTCCCATTCTATTCCTAATTTGTTTCTATCATGAGAGACGTT